TTCCCACCAAATCCATGGAGAAAATCCCAGCAGCAGGGAGATGTAACATGGAGAGTTGTAGCCACCTGAGATCTCTCCACTGGATCCTGTGAGAACCACTCTGTCCCTCTCTGGCTGCCTGTCCAACCTCTGGGGAGGGAAGGAAGTCCTTTCCTCCATCCCCCACCCCCAGCTGCCTCTTCCAGCTGAAATCCTCCTTTCCTGGCAGACCTCAGAGACTCAGATCTCACCCCCTACCACTCCCCCAGGAGAGCTGGGGGCCACTGTTTCCTGGATTATCCTAAAAGCTTCCGAGAGGCCGTGAGGACTTGGCAGCAGCCCTGCCTGCGACTCTCACCTCCCCCCTCTGGCTCTGGCTGTCGCCTCCTTTATAAAGCCTGGCTCTCCCATCACCCCCACTTGCCCCTCACTGCTGCTGCCAGCTCTGGGCTCCATGGACTGGTAAGAGGGGCTAGCTATACCCTGTCCAGTTCAGGAAGCAAGAGGACCAAGTCTCCACTCTAAAGGGATCATTGAGAAGGGTTTGGAAGGCTTGATTCTCTCTGAATCTGGGAGGAGGAGATAAGAGGGAGGTCCTGGGGGGCTCTGTATGGAGAACCAAAGAGGATTCCTTTGGAAGTCTTTGGACTGGACTGGGCTGAGATCTGGGGGAGAAGTGGAGTGGTCATCCAGGGGCTTCATTCTGAGAGAAAAGATGGGCAGATGTTGATAGACATACAAGGCACACACTTCATCACGCAGAAGTTCATGCATGATAGAACACCTGCAGGAGAAGAAAGGAGAAACCTCTGTACATATCCCGTGGGTAATTCCCTTTATGATGGAGGAGAGGGGACAGACACCCCATATCCAAGCCCAAAGGTACACATATAGGGCATGATGGGTATGCACACACAAGTGTAGACACACACACACACACACGTATACAGATGCATTATCCTCAGCTGGGTTCATCTTTTAGATTAAACAGATATGGATGCTAGTGATATTTGGATCTGTAATAGAATTAGTGTCCAGCGTAGTGCCTGGCCCTGGGTCAACCCTCAGCAAGTGTTTGCTGAATGAATACAGACGAATGAAAGAGAACCGTTTGGTCCCAGCTCTGGATTCTGTCCAGGTTCCTAGGAACATGGTTGGGCAGGGTGGGATGAGGGAAGGAAAGGGGGAATGTGTTGGTATCCAGGATCATTACTTTGCAGGTTTCCAAGTACAGCCTGAAGGAGGGGGTGGGAAGTGGAAGTGGGAAGAAGAGTGGACGACCAGGAATTAGGAGACTGGGGTTCGGGTCCTTAGTCTGCTTCTAACTTTCTGTATGACGTTGAGATACTTGCCTCCCTGTTCTGGGGTTCAGTTTCCCTACCAGTAAAGTGAAGACTTATACTAGACAATTTTTATGGGCAGACGAGTTTTGATATGTTCATAGTGCAGCCTCCACAGAAGGACAACTAACATTTAGAAGGAACCACGGATAGAATGTGACTTGTCCCAGCAATCCAAGATGGGACCAGTTTGTCCTATTAAAGTCAAGATCCTAGATGGCTTTGGTCTGGGGATCAGTTTGAGAATGGTATCCCCTTCACCTTCAGCATCTAAGGGAGCCGGACTCCTGGGTCCAGTGCTGTTGCTCTAGTGAGGCCAGATGGAATAGCAGGTAGAACAGGGCTTTGGAGCCTGACAGATCTGGACTCAGTTTCCTTCTCTGTCTCATTCAATAGCTCAGAAATCATGGGCAGGTCATTGAACTTCTTTGATCCTTGGCAGAACTCTTCATCTGTATGATGGGAATAATAAGAACAACTTTTCTGCATGCCCATGAGAATTAGAGGTATTTGTGTAAAGCACCAGGAACAAAGTAGATGCTCAATAAATAAATGGTGGTCATGATGACCATGGAGACTAATGAGGCTGCTCTGGGTACAAAATGATAGCTGAGTATAAATGAGGTGTGAGAAGAGGGGTGGTAGGATTGGACACTTATGGCAAAATCTATTTACCCCTTTTGGGGAATAAGGAGAAAGTCCAGGAATGGCCCAAGTTTTGGGTAAATAGTTTGTGTGCAAGACGTGGTGGGCAGCATTATTCAGTTTTGAGAAGACATAAGAGTACTGGGCAGCGGTGATGTTGGCAGTTGTGTCAATATCAGACCATGGGCACTGTTTAATAGGAAAAGATCTGGCAAGTGGGAAATGGAAGGGACTGGAATCAGAAGAATACAAGGGTGGGGGTGGCACTGGAAGACAGTACCTTAAATCAGAGGCAGAAAGCTAAGCAGGGCAGGAAAGCCAGATGGCTGGGTTTTCTGAGACAACTCTAGTATGAGCCACAGGCAGATTGGAGGGTCTTTGCTCCTGGGGTGAAAGTGGGGTGGGAAGTCTATCATCCAGGGGTTAGATCCCTTTCCCTGTTGTTTTCCAGGGAAGGACGGAAGGAGCCAGGAAGATAAAATAATCTGGTGCCTAGAAAAAAATGGGAGGTGGGGGAACTTATCACTGCACAAGTGTTAGCACCTTAAGAGCAATAGCTTTGGAGTGTCTTGGTGGCTCAGTCCATTAAGTGTCTGCTTTTGGCTCAGGTCATCATCCCAGGAGGGGCCTCAACCTGAGCCCCCCCCCCCACTGGGGAGTTTGCTTCTTCCTCTCCCTCTGCCCTTCCCCCTGCTTGTGCTCTCTCACTCTCCCTTTTTTCCCTTTCTCTCTCTCAAAAAAAAAAAAATAAATAAATAAATAAAAACAAAGAGCAGTAGCTTCAGAGATAGTCAGAAGGCCAGTGGGCGGCAGGGAGGAAGGAGGCAGAGAATTAATTAGCCTATGGGTTAAATCACACTTAACACGGGAGTCCAAGTTACAGGCTCCATTCTGGACATGGCTGTGAGTGAACACAGTGAGCAGAGAGAAAACCATGTTGCTAGAGAGCTGTGGATGTAGCAGGAGCCAGAAAAATCCAGAGCAGTTCTTGAGAATCTACATCACAGAGGTCTGAGGGTCCAGAAGAAGGAAATTCTCGACTGATCATAAAGTACAATCCCTGACATCCCTGGATTGCCTCCAGGCTTCCCAAGCGCCTGTCTTTTTTATCCTGCAGGGCAACTGCTCTAACTGCATTTTAACCCAGGAAGAAACTGAGGCTCCAAGCAACCTGACCCACCAGGTCAGCTTAGCAAGTCCAGGGCTGGGGCTAGAATTTAGGTCTACCAACTTCTTGTCCAAAGATCTTGTGACTATTACCTTAATCCAACAAATATTTGCTGGGAACCCACTTATTTAATAATTATAACAGCATTTTTCCGTTGCTTTTTTAAGCTTACCAGGGGACCCAGGGGCTAAGTATTTTAGGTACATCAATTCTTTTATGCTCCAGGAAAGTCTCCCAATTTGAGCTCAGGTTGCCTAGATTGTTTTAGGAAAGAGGGATAAACAGAAGAATCAGACATTGACCCCAAATGGATATAAGACTGTGGGTTTAGGGGGAAAACCACACATGCAAAGGCTGATTTTCAGGTGGTTCGTGGATTCAGTTTAGTCGTTTATAGTGCACTTCGAGTAGGTCCCCAACGGAAATTCGAGCAGGATCAAGCAATAGTGGAATCGAGGCTGTAGAGGTGAGATTGAATCATCCTAAATTCTGGTCCTGCTGTGCGTAATAGACTGCAAAGACAAAAAACGAAATTTAAAAAGCCGATGGCAAAGCGCACAAGTAAAGTCAAACGGCGCAACGAAAAAAAAATACGGAAATCGATCCGAATTCCCCTGCAAGAAAGGAGTCCCTTCGGGAGGTCAGCGCGGCGGGTGGAGGAGGCACCGATCGGAAGGGGAGCCTCGGCTACCCGGGCGCACAGGCCAGTCGGGCGAGGAGGAGGGAGGGACTCTCCTAGCCACTGGCGCTCGATAATCTCGACCAACTGAGACCTTGAGAGAATTTTTTCGGTGGGCGCCCTGAACGCCCCGAAATTTTGCCAGGATGTTGCATTGTGTGTGTGTATTTGTTTTCATCAAAGGAATCCCGGAATCTTAAGAAACTTCGCTTTAGAGATTCAGGTGAGAATTGTGCAAGGGGTGGATCGATTCTTTCCAGAAGAGTTCCTACCCAGGGTCATTCAGGCAGGCGCCTAGCCCCAACTTTCAGAGAAGGGAGCGGGGGGGGGGGGTCTCAAGGGGTGGCAGGGCGGACGCAGACCGCGCGGCTCCCGGACGCAGGGGTCGCCTATTTGAGAGGTGGACTTAGGGGGCGCTGGGGTTGTTGCCCAAGGGGACATGGGGAGTGAGGGCTGGGGGCGCCTGGGAGACGAATAGGGGTAGGCAGACAAGGGCAAGTGGGAGAGCAGGGGAGCGGGCAGAGAAGAGGAGGCCCCCCAAAAGGGCGAGTGACCGGAGAGGGAGAGGCAGAAAGCCGGGACGAAAGGCCGGGGGAGGGGTGTGGTGCTGGAGCGAAGCGGCGGGGGGAGGTTCTCACGGCCTAGGCCTGGGGTGCACCCGACACATCCTTGGCGCTCAGTCCTGTTTCCTTTTGCTCTCAGGACCCCGGCAGCGCTGCCCACCCGGGAGGGTGGGTCGAGCGCCGAGGCAGCAAGCGGCGCCCTGAGGGACGCCCCTAATCACCCCGGGCCCCCGCCCCCTTCTCCGGGCCCCCGGGGTCTGAGTCCCGCGTCCCCCGCCAGACCCGGCCGGCTCCGCGGCAGTTCTGCGCGCGAGGGGCGGGTCTCCGAGCCTGGGAATCTCTCCGCCCAGGACCCCGGCCCGGGAGCCGAGGGGCCGGGGAGGAGCGAGGGAGGGGCGGAGGCGACCCAGTTAGCGAGCCCGCCCCCTCTCCGCCGGCCCGGCCGCCCCAGCCTCGGGTCCGGCCGAGCCCGCAAGGGTTAAAGGCGGCGGCAGGTGAGGTGGGCGGGGCCGCGGACTCGGGGGAAAAAGGAGCGCAGGGCAGAGGATGAAGGCAGAGAGCGCGGGTGAGTCACGGGCGGAGCTGGCCTCGCTCGCTCGCTCGCTCGCTCCCAGGCTCCCGCCCGCCCGCCGCCCTCCCGCCCGCCCGCCGCTCCTCCGCCGCCCGCCGCCGGGTCTGGTCGCGGCCCCCGCTTGTCCTCGGCTCCGGCCCCTCGCCGCTGGAGAGCCCTTCGGCGCGCAGGGCCCATGAGCAACCGTCGGTAGCGCGCCAGCCTGCCGAGCCCGGAGCCCGAGCACAGCCTCGAGGTAGGAGCCAGGGTCGGGGCGGCGAGGGGCGCGCGCCCCGGGGATCCTCTCGAAAAGCAGCGCCCCGAACTCGCCGCAGCCCGCGGTGGCCTCGGGGGAGGTGGTCCTAAAGAATCCGAGGAGCTTAGGGCCCCGGCCGAACGACAACTGGGCGGAAGGGCGAGACGGGGGACCGGAGAAACTGGAGCGACTGGGACAACCGGAGGCCTGGGCCCTTGGGGACTGGGAGCACGGAAGCCCTGGCCACCTGAGCGCCGGTGATCGGGAGAGGGAGACGGCGGAAGGGGGAGGAAGGGTGTCTCTACCCGGCTTCCTGCGTCGGGGCGCGGGAAGCCGAGAGTGCGCGCCCTGCTGCCTCCCTTCCTGAACCCTGGCATCCCGAGACCGGGCTCCCTGGCTCTGCGTCGGGAGAGGCCACTCTGGAGCCTGGGTCGTTACCCCCCACGCCAGTCCCTGGGGCAGTTCCCAGACGCCAAAAGCTATTAGGGTCCTAGGCCTCGCGGCTCCCGACCGGCCCCTCCTGGGCTGCCGCGCCTGGGCCCGAGGCTCCATTCCTGCTGCTTCACCCAGTTCCTTTCTTGTGGTAAGGCAGCCGGAGCCTGAGTAGGCGCCCCAGTCCCCCTCTCCCCCCCTCTCCCAAACTACCTGGGCCACTTCTTTGGTCGCAGAGGCCAAAGGTGGTAGGGTCAGCGGAGCGGTGCTTTGGAACGAAGTCCCGGCCCTAAACCACTGAACCTCCTCCCCCACCATCAGAGAAGTCCAGGCGCACGGACTCACACCTGAAGCACCAGGGCTCCCAGGCCTTAGGGAGAGGTGGTGAGAAAGAGGACCTTCAAATCACAGATACGTGGTTAAGAATGAGGTGGACGTCTTTAGGCTCCCCACAATTTAGGGAAAGGGTAACAGACCAGGAGTCCAGGGATCTGGTTCACAGAGTACATATTTGTTGATGGAACAAGTAAATGAATGTCTGTTCCAGTTACCTCTCCAAATACTGCCTCAGTTTCCTCTTTTTTTTTTTTTTTTTTTTTAATAAGAGGGTTGCTTGAAGAGTGGTTCTCAACACTTTGCAGCATCTGGGAACCATCTGCAGAACTCCTAAAAATGATCCATGCCTAGAATGCACTCCCTTATATAATCTCTTGGGGGTAATTCTTAATTTCTGTGATTCTGGTTTTTCTTGTTCCCCCTTGCTGTCCCTACTTTGACATCCTTTACCGGGGTGACAGTTTTACCTTCCTGAGCTTGTTAGTAAGCTCTTCTCTGGCTGACCCCCTTCCCTGGGAAAGCTGACCCCTCCCAGCTTCACATCTGGGTCTCCCCTCAATTGAAGGAAGGGATGGGTAGCAGCCAGACAGAGCTGGCTGGCGCCAGTGTGGGTCAGGACAGCAGAGGAGGCTTAACTTTCTCTGGTAGGGAGATGTCCCCTGGGAATGGGCACTGTGGCTATAGGGGGTGGGGTGGGGGGTGGCGGCGGGGTGAAGTCCTTGCCTGAGGGAAAGGGGTGGGGGCCAGTGTGGAAGGGGATTTGCTGGGGCCATGGCAACCCAGTCAGGCAGAGAGCTGAGGGGAATGGAATGAGGTCTCTTTCTCTAATATCTCAGAACCTGCTTTGGGCTTTGGAAAGTCAGATCACCTCAAGCTTTGAGTTTCAGAAAGAGACCACCACCCTCTCCTCATCTGGGTCCTCTGGTTCCCTAGTTAAACTAGGGAAGCAGAGATGAGTCTCGGTCCTCCAGTGGGGTGGCAGCCCGTCTGCAGGGGGTAAATGCCACTGCCCTTTGCACCAGCCTGGGCACCTGGGGTGGGGATGGTTTGAGCGCTGTACTGTAGGTGTATCTGACCTACCAGCCTGGGACCAGCCCAACTCTCAGGATTCTTGGAGTCCCCACAGGAGGGATCAGCTAGATGAAGGTAGACTCACCCCCCCCCATCCTTGGCTGGGAACCTCATACCCTCAACCCTTCCTATGACTCTCAAATTCTGTTTATGAGTCTTTAGTCCCCACTCAGAGGTGCCTTCCTCTTTTTCACTTGCCGGCCAGCTGCCAGCCCAGCCCAGCGGGAGAGGAGCACTGTGCAGGGAGGGTATCTGGGTTAGGACTAGAAGTGAGTTGGCGACTTTGCTCACTTCACCTCTTCTTTGCCTCCCTTAGGTTCCACTTGAGGTGCTCCTGACCATCCCTGCTCCCCACCCCACCCAGGATCCCGGCAATGCTAACCGCTGTCTGCGGCTCTCTGGGCAGCCAGCACACGGACGCGCCTCACGCCTCCCCACCGCGCCTGGACCTGCAGCCTCTCCAAACATACCAGGGCCACACGAGCCCCGAGGCCGGGGACTACCCCTCCCCGCTGCAGCCTGGAGAGCTGCAGAGCCTCCCGCTGGGCCCTGAGGTGGACTTCTCGCAGGGCTATGAGCTGCCGGGGGCCTCCTCTCGGGTGACCTGCGAGGACCTGGAAAGCGACAGTCCCTTGGCCCCGGGACCCTTTTCCAAGCTCCTGCAGCCGGACATGTCACACCATTACGAATCGTGGTTCCGGCCAACTCACCCCGGCGCCGAGGATGGCTCGTGGTGGGACCTGCATCCGAGCACCAGCTGGATGGACCTCCCCCACACTCAGGGCGCGCTGACCTCACCCGGCCACCCCGGGGCGCTTCAGGCCGGCTTGGGGGGCTATGTCGGAGACCACCAGCTCTGCGCGCCGCCGCCCCACCCACACCCGCACCACCTCCTCCCGGCCGCCGGAGGGCAGCACCTCCTGGGGCCTCCCGACGGGGCCAAGGCCTTGGAAGCGGCCGCCCCGGAGTCCCAGGGGCTAGATTCCAGTCTGGACGGAGCCGCCCGGCCCAAAGGCTCCCGGCGGTCAGTGCCGCGCAGCTCGGGCCAGACCGTGTGCCGCTGCCCCAACTGCCTGGAGGCGGAGCGACTGGGGGCTCCGTGCGGGCCCGACGGGGGCAAGAAGAAGCATTTGCACAACTGCCACATCCCGGGCTGCGGGAAGGCCTACGCCAAGACGTCGCACCTGAAGGCGCACCTGCGCTGGCACAGCGGCGACCGTCCCTTCGTGTGCAACTGGCTCTTCTGCGGCAAGCGCTTCACGCGCTCCGACGAGCTGCAGCGCCACCTCCAGACCCACACGGGCACCAAGAAGTTCCCCTGTGCGGTCTGCAGCCGCGTCTTCATGCGCAGCGACCACCTGGCCAAGCACATGAAAACCCACGAGGGCGCCAAAGAGGAGGCGGCAGGGGCGGCCCCGGGCGAGGGCAAGGCCGGCGGAGCGGTGGAACCCCCCGGGGGCAAAGGCAAGCGGGAGGCGGAGGGCAGCGCGGCTCCCTCCAACTGAGCTCCTCCGGTACCGCTCCCCCCAGCTGGTGTCCCTTGGCGGCGCGAGAGGAGATGTCCCGCTGGGCTGATCGACGCCCGTGGGGGGCGCCTTGTGTACGGGGAGGAGGTGGTTATTTATTGAGGGGGAGAAGAAGGGGTGCGGGGTCAGGGAGACGGGGCGCTAGGGGTTCTTTTAGTCTCTGGGGCTGGACCAGACGTGTTTGACTGGCTGGGCTGGGAGGAGCGGAGCAAAAGCCTCTCTGTCCTCCCCTTCCTCACTACTTCACTCCTGTGCCTCTGCTGGGGGTTTGGGGTGGGGTCCCCCTGCCGCGGCTGGAGGGCGGAGGGGACCTGCTGGAAGAGACGGCGCGTCCCCGGAGCAGAGAGGAGTGGGGCCGCCGCGGGCGCTGCGGGTAGCTGCCTGGACACGTCCTCAGCGCCTGGGAACCGGGACATAAAAGCGCCTCTGGACCCGCCCTGCGGCCCAGGTCCCTTTCATCCCCCCTTATAGTGCTTCTATCCCCATGGTTTCCCCAGGGAAAGCCAAGGTGGAGTGGGGGAGACAGGGGTCCCCCTTCGGGAGGGGTCTCTATCTGGTTGGGAGGGTTGTTGCTGTAGAAATAACTCCTTTGATGTGCCTCCTGATTAACCCTTCCAAACCCACTCTGATGGAGCCATGAAGGAAGAAGGGGAAGAGGCCAGAACCGCAGACAGCTTCCCAGCCAGAGCGGTGGGGTGGAGAGAGCTAGACTGGGGGGAGGAGCACAAAAAGGCCCCTTCTAAAATGAGAGAAATGGATTTGGTGGGAACTAACTAATGGAAGGAACTAACCCCTTACCTCTCTAACTCGGATTCAGTCCTTAATAACTCATGGGTTTGTTTTTTTTTTTTTTTGAAAAATAAATAAAAAAAATAAAGTTCAGTATAGTTCCCACTCCCCACCTGCTACTTGATCTAGGTTTTCAAGGCAACCAGAAACCCCAGCCCCCACTCTAGCATTGATGTAGTTCCTGGTCCTGGGTCCCCTCAATCATTTATCGTTCCCTTAGGGACAGAAGGAAAAGGGTTACCTTGGTTGTCTGGGGAGTAGATGGGGTGTCCCAGTGGAGAGACATCCAGTGGTCCCCACTCAGAGTGGAGGACTCTGCCCCTGCCCAGCCATCTTCTGTTCACTGAGAAGCTAAGGCTCACCCTTCCTTTTCTCTACCTTCTCCTTTCTCTGTTGCCCTGCAAGCCTTGCCCCTCCTGTAGGGTGTGTGTTAGGGGGCTCCTTTCTCTCCATCTCAATTCCGGCCAGGGGGACTCCCCTTTCATATGAAGGAGGTGTTCTCCTACTGGAAGGGGTCTGCCTTCTGAGGTGATGTCCAGAAAGCTATCCCTGTCCCCTCCTTTAGATGCTAGAAATACATCCTGGTTGTGATCTTGGAGTGGGGGCTGGGGAGGGGAAAGCCTAGCAGGGGTGGGGCCAGGCAAAGGGAAGGAAGCAGATAGGGGTAAGGATCTGGAACTGGTAGCCTTTTCCAGGCTAGAGGTAGAGGCTGTAAGATTGTCTCTGACCTCCCCTGATCCCTTGCCCCTCTTTCTCCACCCAGAGCCCTATGTGAGGATTAGTTGTGTATTGATTTTTAAGTTATAAGCAAAAGGTATTTTATTTAATATTAGGGCATGTGTGTGTGCATGCTGTTTGTACCTGTATGTGTGTATGTGTGTGTGTATGTGTGTTTCTCTACTGAGCCTGGGGTCTCCAGCTGGAGAGACCCCACCTTGTTCACCTGTCCAAGGTCCTAGGACTTAGGCCCACAGTGTCTCTTCCTCTCTTGGGATGCTGGAGCCCAGTCCCAGGACTGGGAGCTAAAAGGGAAGTAGGTTTGGGGTCTGGGTAGGAATATGCATTTGTGTAGAAGGGAGCCCTTCTTAAAAGGGACAGGGTGACTCTCCCTGAGAGACTCATGGGCCTGGGGTAGTTTAAGAAATTATGTTCTTTCTTTTTGCTCCCTCTTTACCCTACCTCTTGCTACCCCAACCAGAGGTCCCTTTCCTCGCTGAGAGGGTTGGGGGCAGGAGAGAGTTGGCATTGCCTGCAGGTTGCCAGGCTGGCGGGGGGGGGGGGGGAGAGGGAGGACACTATGAGTGTGGGATGCCTTTCTCCACCCATCGAAACCAGCCACCCCCTCCCTGTGCCACCAGGACAGCCCTCCCCAGTGACCATTCTAAAGGGAACTCCAGAATGGGTGTTGGGGCTGGGGGGGTACTGGTGTTGCCCCTGTGGAGGACTTGAGCTCTCAGGATGCGGGTGAGGGCTTTGGATGGGTTTTCTTCTGCTCCCCTCCTTTATAGATCTAGGTTGCTTGGCTGTCTGCCCCCTTCTAGGCAGCCCCCTAGAGGAGAAATGTAGGATTTTTTCCTTTAACTGCTGTGAACCCACTTTGGGGGGTGAGGAGGAGGAAGAAACAGCCTGTTTTTTATGCCATAATAAAGTCATCAACCACATCATTGCTTCATTTGTCTTCAGCTCTGGTTTCCTTTTTGACTCAGTGTCCCTCAGTGGTGAGGACCAGGCCGGGCTGCAGGGTGGGGTGGACACTTCCCTTTGATGCCGCAGCTCTGCTGCAGCCTCTCCTCCCTTTGTTTGGGGCAAAGCGGAGCTGATTGAAGGGACAGATCCTTACCGGGAGGTGGCTGGTGCCCGGGGGAGGGAGGAGCTCCCTCAGGGTTGATCACTGGGCTGACTGTCCCTCCCTGGAGATGAGAAGGTTCTAGATATTTCCTTCCTCCTCCACACATAAGCCCCCTCTTTCCCCTTCCCTGTCAAGAACGCTGGTTCCCTGCCTCTCCGGGAGAGAGCCAACCTCCCTACTCAGTCACAGTCACCCCACCCCCGTGGGGGTGTGATGGGTCTCTTTGGCTGTGAGGCGGGGGTGACTGGCAGTGATTTCTTCACCCAGGATGATCCCTATCAGGGACAAGGCGATGAAAGGCAGCCAAGATATCTGATGGGCTCCCGCCCAGCTGGAAAGTATGAGGGAAGGATCCTCCTGCAACTCCCAGCTAGAGGGCCTGCCACAGTTACACAAACAGTGCTCACGAACGAATGCACCCGCACTGGACCCACCGGGTGGCCAGGGATGTGCAGAAACGCCCATGTGTACGCACTTTCCTGGGCTGCCCAATGCCTGCTATGCGGCTGGGGCCTAATTCGGGTGAAATGAATAAAAGACCTCAGGAGACCAGAGGGTGAAGCTAGGAAGGTCGACAGAGGAGCTATTTGGCTCGAAAGGGGCAGGTTGAGTATTGCGTCCTTTCACCGTCCCAGCCTACATTTTGACCACAATTCTTATCTTCACTAGTGGGATTCCTGTTTCCCCCACTCCACCCCTAACCCAATTTCCTGGAGCCAAATCTGGTACCCAATTGGCTCATCCCATCACATGCTTGGGAGAATCTGGGGTCACAAAAGTTAAGGCCTTTTGGGGATGGGGAGTATCAATGATTTAGGGCTTACAGATAGACGCAGACTGATTTTACGGGGAGTAGCTATTTGCTTTCTCTTGCTCCCAGAGTTAGAAACCTGAGAGGAGGAGGGGCAGGCATATACTCCAGTGACCTGGTGCCCGCCCCACTCTGTGGGGCGCCTCTTTTGTGTTCCTACTTCTGGGGGAGTTAGACCCCCAGGAACCCGATGAGCCCTTTCTTCCTTTAGCCCATCGCTGCCCCCAGGGACAAGAGGGCAGCTGTGGGGCCGGCTGGGCCTGTCTGGGCAGGGCTGGGGCCACCCCTCCTCCCCTTGCAGCTCCTCCTGCTGACCTGCATTCTTAGCGGGGGCCTTTGGTGGGGCTCTGATGTTTGCTCACTGGCTCGCATTGGCAGTAATGCTGCTTGGCTGGCCTACCCCCCCCCCCCCCCCAGGGAACCCAAGGCCACCACTGACCCCTCAGATCTGGCACCCCCAGTGGGACGATCCTAGAGGGACCAGGAAGGAATTAGGGAACTCAGGCCACGTGGCTGACCCTTTGGGCAACCTCTCTGAGTGGCCACCTCTTCTCTTGGGAGGTGGGAGTATAGGCTCACTAGGACGGGTGAGTGAAATCAGAAATGAGAAAGTGCCCCAGGAGCAGGCAGCCTGGGAACTGCCGCCTGGGGCTGCGCTGTGGCCCACAGACACATGCTTCTCCTGCTGCCCGTTCCTGCCCCACAGCGGGCAGCTAGGGAAGTGCAGGAGGGAGGCCGGGTTGGCTGCAGGCCGCTTTAGGCTCTTATGTCTGTCAGCACGCAGCCTTGACATTTGCTTCTGGAATGACCTCCAACAGCAACCACATGACACTTCCCCAACAGCACACCTGAACCAGTCTTCACTTTCCATTAATTCTGGTGATCTCGGGCACCTGGGTGGCTCAGTGGTTGAGTGTCTGCCTTTGGCTCAGGTCATGATACCGGGGTTCTGGGATCCAGTCCCACATCGGGCTCCCTGCAGGGAGCCTACTTCTCCCTCTGCCTATGTCTCTGCCTCTCTCTGTGTGTCTCTTTATTTATTTAAATAAAATCTTAAAAGAAAAATTCTGGTGACCTCGACAGCTCAGCATCTTAGCAGTATGGGTTTGAAAAACATCTCAGGAACCAGTCTAGCTGTTTTCACCTGGTAGAGGGCATCTTAGAGTCACCCATGGAGTTTCTCAAGACATCCCCACTAACTCTCCAACACCCCACCAAGTTATGTCCTTGGTGGCACATTAGAGCAGCACTTCTCAAACTTTACACTGGGGGTGTTAACATGCAACTTCTGATTCAGTAGGTCTGAGGTGTGGCCCAAGATTCCGCATCTTTTTTAAAAGATTTATTTATTTGAGAGAGAGAGAGGGGTGGGGGTGTGGGCCGAGGGAGAGAGAAGCAGATTCCCTGCTAAGTGCGGGGACCCCACTGGGGGCTCAATCTCAGGACACTGACATCATGACCAGAGCCAAAATCCAGAGTCAGATGCTTAACTACTGAGCCACCCAGGTGCCCTAAGATTCTGCATTTTGAACAAGCTTCCAGGTGATGCTGATGCTGGCAGGCCATGGACGCTGAGTAGCAGAGTATGAAAGTATGATGTTGTGCAGTGGGGGTTGTTGTTGAAAACTCATCCCTCCCCTCGACTCCCCACCCGTGATTGAGAACCACAGATCTAGCTCAATGCTGTCATTTTGCCATTGGGGAAACTGAGGCCCTCAAAGAGTAAAATGACCTGCCCAAAGAGATCCATAGCAGAAGCAAGATGAGATGCCAATGTTCTGAGTTCCAGGTGATGCTCTTTGTGCCTCCAGCCCAGCTTCTAAGTCAATTCTTCTCTGTTAGGGGCAGTCCCCCTTTTGAAAGTAAAGCCCAGAGACAGCTCCCTCCTCAGGGACGGTTTCCTCTTCAGAATCAGCCTTGGATACCTATAGGCAATTAGGAAACATCTCAGATTTCAGATCCCCCAACAGCCTTATCTGGTACATCTGCCCACAGTCTGCCTCCTGGGAAAGCCTTGGCTCTCATTCTCATCCCAGGAGTGACCCCATGCTGGGATGCAGTGCACAGCGCCCCCCCACCCCCCAAGCAGCAGCCCTGATGGGTTGGCAGGATGGATGTGTGGGAGAAGTAGATAATCTGCAATATCTCTCCCATCCCCATTCCTGTAGGGTTCCACAGAGCAAAAAGGTGAAATGCATTTGCTTAAATGCTGGTTATGGAGATAGTTTATAGAGGAAAATGACCCAGAAAGCAGAACATTTGGGATCAGAGTCCATTCACACACTAACATGTGCACCCGTGGCTAAGACTTCTTTGCTGTTACAATTTCACTACGTGTAAAGGCACCAAATCTTTGGACTTGAAATTTTCAAATTTCCTTTCAAAGATATCTTCCTATGAGTTTGAGCACTGTGGGGCAAAATCCAACTTTTGGGAGTCGGGTGGGTTTGGAGTGTACTTAAAAAAATACATTAACTTAAGTTATCCCTACACCTCCTGCCCTCGGACAGACAATCTGACAGATCTTCTGTCCTGGTAGGTGCTGGGGGTTGGGGTTGGGGGTTGGCGGTACCTTTGTAATTCAAACCGGGAGTGTGGGACGCCTGGGTGGCCTAGCGCCTGCCTTTGGCCCAGGGCCTGATCCTGGAGACCCAGGATGGAGTCCCCCATCGGGCTCCCTGCTTGGAGCCTGCTTCTCCCTCTGCCTGTGTCTCTGGCTCTCTCTCTGTGTCTCTAATGAGTAAATAAATAAAATCTTTAAAAACAAAACAAAACCAGGACGCGAGTCCTGAGTTTTTTCCTCCAGATGCCCCTAGCAATCCGCGCTAACAAATCTACCCAGTTCTTCTTTCCTCTCTTTTCTTTTTTAAAGATTTTACTTATTTATTCATGAGAGACACAGAGAGAGAGAGAGAGAGAGAGAGAGAGAGGCCGAGACACAGGCAGAGGGAGAAGCAGGCTCCATGCAGGGAGCCCCACGTGGACTCGATCCCAGGACTCCAGGATCAGGCCCTGGGCTGAAGGCAGGCGCTTAACCGCCGAGCCACCCAGGGATCCCTCTTTCCTTTCTTTTCATGTGGGCTCCTTTTCACCCCCAGCGTCCGCTCCCCACAGTGGCCCCATTGGAAGCCCCCCCCCCCCCTTCATCGCAGGCTCCGTCCCGCCTGAAGGGGCGCCGCGAAGGGCCGGCGGCCTAGCGCGGTTTCCAAGGCCGCTCGGCTCCAAGAAGCGGTGCCGGCGCGCGCCCTGGTGGATAACCGGGGAACTGCGGCCGCTGGTTCCGGTTCCGCCCCCCGGGCCAAAGCCTTCCAGGTCACCTGCGAGCCTCCGCCCAATGACCTGGAGCGGAGGCGGTGGCGCTCGGGACTGATCTGGGGATCTTGCAGGGAGGGAGGGTGAGGGGCACGCCGTACTGGGGAAGCGAGAAAGGGTGGGCAGAAGAGGGGCGTGGGACTCTTGGGGAGGCGGGGTACGAGGCAGGGGGTCCCGCCACTGCCTCGGGGGGCTGGGCTCTGGGTAGGGCTGGGCCCTGGGAGCGTGCGCTCGGAGTGCCCCGACCCCCGAGGCTGCAGCCTGGGGCGAGAGCGGTGCCTCTGCCGCGCACACCGTACGTGCAGTGTGTGTGCGGTGCTGAGCGTCCGGAACCCCACACGTGTCTGTTTACACGTGGTGGGAGAGGGGGCTCCCAGGGCTGAGCCCTGGCCAGGGTGGTGGAGAGGTAGCACCAGAGGGACAAGCTCATCTCTACCATCTCCCCAGATGGCTTCGTGTGCCCCGGACACCCCGTGTTCCTGCGATTGTTTTGTCTCTGTACCCCCGGCCTCGGCCATCCCAGCGGTGATCTTTGCCAAGAACTCTGACCGGCCCCGGGACGAGGTGCAGGAGGTGGTGTTTGTACCAGCAAGCACTCACGCCCCTGGGAGCCGCCTCCAGGTGGGTTAGGCCTTATGGGAGTGGCGAGAGGTGTAGCAGATCCAGACATTCTGCTAAGACCTTGCTCCTCTGCTGCTCACACCCAGAAAACTGCCACAGGTGGTGGAAAGAGCATGACTTTCTAGTCTCCCGAGCTGGACTTAGCCTATTGTTGAACCTCCTCGTCTGTAAAGTGGGAAGAATAAAACCCTTTCTGAGTGGACTCTCCCTTTCTCCTTCCTTACCTGCAGTGCACCTACATTGAGGTGGAGCAGGTGCCAAAGACTCACGCTGTCATCCTGAGCCGCCCTTCTTGGCTGTGGGGGGCGGAGATGGGCGCCAATGAGCATGGTGTCTGTATTGGCAATGAGGCAGTGTGGACCAAGGAGCCGGTTGGAGAGGGGGAAGCGCTGCTGGGCATGGATCTGCTCAGGTGGGGACCCTGCCCTCCCTCATCTGGAGTCTGAGAGCTGAGTACTGACCCAGGCCATCCTCCCCTCCTCCAAGCCAGGTTCCCAAGGGCCTCCAGCTTTTTGTCCCCATTGCCATCACCAGAGAGGCTGCCCTTGCTTCTCCCTTCTCCTGGTCCCACCTCCAGTCTGGTAAGGAGCTCCCAAATGTGGCCATTTCTGTGCCTCTCCTGGTCCCAAAACAGGGCAGTGGTTTCAAATTTCTTTTTTCAATAGAAGTGCTTTCCCTCCACCACCACCCCCCAAATGAAATTTCATATGAGTTCCATTTTAAAAAACCAATAAAGGCAGAGCAGCTCTGGTTGAAGAGAGGCTGGGCGACTCAGTGAACTTCTTCTCTGAGACTGTTTCAGGCCTCTTCATGGGACCCTCAGAGCAGAGCTTGAAAACCACTGGCCTAACTGTGCTTAATACAACTACCGTTGGCAGATTGTTTATGCGACTTGGGCCTCTCCGGGCTCCTTCTGTCCACTGGAACTTCTGTCTCCAGCCGCTGACACCTTATTGCCCTTCTGTTCCCTGCACCTCTCTTCACACCAGGCTGGCTTTAGAACGGAGCAGCTCTGCCCTGGAGGCCTTGCGTGTGATCACGGGCTTGCTGGAGAGCTACGGGCAAGGGGGCAGCTGCCGGGAGGACCCCACGCCGTTCTGCTACCACAACACTTTCCTGCTGGCTGATCGGACTGAGGCATGGGTGCTGGAGACAGCAGGCAGGCTGTGGGCTGCACAGAGGATCCAGGGTGAGAGCCTGGCCCTGGGGCTTGCCTCCTTGAGGTGTCCCTTTTGGTCAGCCTTGGGAGCAGGTGGGATGGATGCAGGGCAGGGTGGATCCAGGTGCAAGCCTCTTGGATAGGAGGCACACCCAAGGAGGTGGGAGATAAGCCCACTGGGGGACTTTTCTCCCCCCGCCCTTCACTTGCTTAGGTCCTCTTGTGCTGCTTCCTCTGGGGTGCCTTCCTGGACTCCCTGGCAGTCAGGTTTCCCCCTTCTAGGCAAGCAGGTGCCTCCTCATTGCACTCATCACAGCTGTGAGCTCACATTTATTTCTGTGATCCTTTTGTCTGTCTGCCTCCCCGTGAGGGCAGGGCTGATCTCTTCCCCACCATGGTCTCGGCACCTGGCACAGCATAGGTGCTTAGTGATCAATGAGCCACCCCCCCCACCTCCTCCACAGAGGGGGCCCGCAACATCTCCAACCAGCTGAGCATCGGCACCGACATCTCGGCCGAACACCCGGAGCTGCGGACCCATGCCCTGGCCCAGGGCTGGTGGGGTGGGCAGCGCCCTTTTGACTTCGCTCAGGTCTTCTCCCTGACCCGGCAGCCTGTGCGCATGGAGGCGGCCAAAGCCCGCTTCCAGGCCGGGCGGGAGCTGCTGCGGCAGGAGCAAGGTCAGTGAGGGGAGGTGGCAGGGAGGGCCGCAGCGGGGCCGCCTTCTCTCCTCCCCCATGGCTCTGGCCCAAGGCCAGGGTCCCCCCTTCTGCCGCGGCGGCCCCTCAGCCTGTGCTCCTTCGCAGGGGGCCTCACGGCGGAGGGGATGATGAACATCCTCAGGAACAAGGAGAGCGGCATCTGCATGGACTCTGGAGGCTTTCGCACCACGGCCAGCATGGTGTCCATCCTGCCCCAGGATCGCACACAGCCCTGCGTCCACTTCCTCACTGCCACACCGGACCCATCCCGGTAACACAAATGAGGCTGGGGAAGGCAGAGGGCCAGCCAGGGGACCTGCGGGGATGTGACAGCCTCTGCTCGTTCCATCTCTGTCCCATCAGGTCAGTGTTCAAACCGTTCATCTTTGGGGCGGGGGCGGCCCAAGTCCCCCAGGTGCTGTCCCCCACTTTTGGAGCACAGGACCCTGTTCGGACCCAGCCCCGATTCCAGACTCAAGTGGATCGCCGGCACACCCTCTACCGTGGACACCAGGTGGCCCTGGGGCTGATGGAGAGTGACCAGGTAACCCCCAGGGAACGGGCTACTCTGGGGGCATGATGCACTTCTCACACCCCCAATTGGGACTCTGGAAATATGAGGGGACCTGGCAGTTGGGGAGAGACTCTAGAGTTGGGGAGAGGAGTCTCTGCCTTCAGAGCTAGCTGCCCAGGAGAATGTCTGGTACCCTGTCCTTTCTCCCGCTTGTGGGGGGAGGCAGGTATCTTCCCTCTATCTGGAGGGAAGCTTGTCCCGGGGACTCATGTCCACCTTTCCTGGGCAGGATCGGGGGCAGCAGCTCCGGCAGAAGCAGCGGGATCTGGAGCAAGAAGGCCTGGAGGCTGCACGGGGGCTGCTGTCCGGGGAGCAGGCTCCACCTGCAGAGAAGCTGGGCGCCCTCTTCCAGGCCTTTGTGGAGAGGGAGAGCCAGGTATATGCCTGAGCGCCACGGCTCCTCCTGGGCTGGGGTGTGCACAGGACCCCTGGGGTAGGGTAGTAGGATCAGCACAAGCCCTTCACTTCCCTCAGCCTCGTTCTGGGCAGCCAGCTCGGCCTTTGCCCAAATAAAGTACGTTATTTTCCTGGTCAGTGAACTTGATCCCAGGTGTAGCGGTGGTGGGAGAGTCAAATGAGGGTGAAGGGCAGCCCTGAGCTGACTACAAGGCCTCTGGTTGTCTTGCTGGGCAGCACAGTCTTCTCACTTGGGTGATCGGGAACAGATGGAGAAAGTTGTGGAAGGAGCCCTTGAGGAGAGGTGGCCTCCCCAGGTGTGTGAGTGGGTGTGCACAAGAGTTCATGCCTGGCATAATATGGGGCTACTCTTTAGGGAGAATTAGAACCACGGATTTTTGGTCCCTGGCTTGAACCTTGGAAGGGCTCCCTAAGGGTGGCAGTGAGATGTGGCCTCCGTAAGATGGCATCTTCCACAAGGTGATGCCCACTCAGTACCCAGGAAGCCAGGTGGGGACCCGAGGTGCGCCAATTCTTGGGGTCGTTCCCAAAAGGTCAGAAACTTGTTCTTTAGAATCAGGTCCTGTATTTCTGTGACTCTTTCCCCCTGCCTTGACTGCTTGCTTCCCTTGAGATGCTTCCAATGACATAAAAGACATATTTGGGGCCTGGAAACGTTTTACTGAGATAGGTTTCTGCCACAGGTGAGGGGTCAGAGAAGGAGGGGAGGCCCCACTTCATGCCCTGTTCTTCCCCATCCCTTGTTCCCCTGGTACTGCTGATAAGGCTAGGCTGTATGTACTTCATTTCTTGATTCTCTTGGTCACAGTTTTGTTTGTGCCGGGGGCCCCAGCCAGAGAGGCCTTAGGGACTAGGGCTGCTCTGGTTCCCTTCTTTGCCTGAGTGATGCTTTGCTGGCTGGAAACCAGCGGGCAGAGTTTCCTGGTGGCAGAGGTAGCTTGTGACAAGGAAGTGGGCTTGGGGGATGTCTCCTTCCTTTGCCTGGGAGTGACAGAAGGACTGCTGTCCCTTGCCATGGGCTCCCCAGGCAGCTGGGGGAGGTCAGTGAGGGCGGGCTTTGTCTCCATCCTCAGAAGGTGCTCGGTCAGGGCTGCCTGCTGCCTGCGCTCCTTGTGTCTGCTCATCTCCTGCTCTAGCTCCTTGAGGAAGCCTGTGAGGGACCAAGGCAGTGGATAGTAATGGAGGCCCAGGCTTGGCAGGAAGGCCCCTGGAAGGGAGGTCTCTGGTCCCCTGGGCAAACTAACCCTCTGCTGTCCCTCATGGGGAGGGGTTCGGGGTTGGGGGCTGAGGGCTGGAGGTGGGGAAGGACAAGTCACTCGCATGCCAGCTTGTCCTGGCTGCACTGTCCTTTTCTGGCCCAGATGATGATCTGGGCTTGGGGCTGCCTCCCTAGCTGCCACAGCCATCTTAGCTTCCCCAGTGGCACACAGGCCAGAGCTGAGTTCTAGGGAGCGTGCAAGTCTGGGAAAGCAGGGCCACCTCGCTCTGTGCAGAATGGGCTGCTTAGCTCTGGGAACTCCTCATCCTCATCGCCTGAGGCTTCATCTTCCTCATCCAAGGTCCAGTGCTCTACCACAGGCTGCTTGTCCAGGTCCAGGAGCAATGGCAGGGCTTCTGTCACCAGCTCCCTGCAGTGTGGAAAGAGCAGAGGCCACCCAGGAGAGCACCCATGAGTGGGGAGCCTGGGAGGATGTGCAGACACAAGCCACAGTAACCACATTGGGAGGGGTGGTGTTCATGAGCTGGGAGATGGGGCTGCAGTCAGCCCCAGAGAGCTAAGTGTTGGCTTCATGTGGACCCCTGGGGGTGATGTGAGCTGGGGTGGTGGAGGAGGAGGTGCCGTGGATGGTGATCCCAGGTGTGCAGGCCGAGAGGGACCCATGTGGAGTTAAAAGGGGGAGCTCAGCCATCACCCCTTTTCTTCTCACCCTTAGGTCCTCCTCACCTGTACCCATCCTGGTTGGTGCAGCTGTTTCCAGTCAGGTTGAGGATGAGAAGGCTCTGGGGGAACTCATCTGCATGCACCAGAGAGGGGGAGGAAAGTACCATATCCACCTTCTGGCCCAAAGCCACTGCCTCTTTGTACAGTCTCTCCAGACCCCCAGAGGCTGTGCTGCCAATGCAAGCATAGGGATATGGTGGCAGAGAGGGGGGAGGCTTATCCCGTGAGCCAGGGCCAGGGCATTCTTACCCAGCTTCAGTGTTTCTATCAGGTTCTCAGAAAGGTCCAGAAACTGGAGATATGGGAGGTCACGGAGGTTTTCCACCTGCTTGATTTGGTTTCCTGCCAGAGACAGGAAGCTGCAGGGGGAGGGAGGGGCACAGAGACAGAGCTGAATCACAGAACTACCAGAGGAAGGGAGGAGGGCACCAGGTACCCGGCAACCCTGTTTAAGCAGCCTGATGACAAGTGGGGACACATAGCCTCCCAGGTGAGGGAAGCAGAGTGAGGCTTGCTGCATCCTCAGCGGATAAGACATTAGGTTAGGAGAGGTCTGAACCAGTTCTCTGGGGGCGTTACCAGGTTTCCCTCCCTACCCCCTACCCCAGGCCTGAGCCCTGACACCACATACCGCAAGGAGGGGATGCAGGCCAGGTTCTCAATTCGCTGGATCTTATTCTGCAGAAAGCAAAAGAGTTAGGGAAACTGAGTAGACCATGTCTACTTGCGCAGCTGGAGAGCTGGCACTTTGGAAATGACCATCCTGCTCCCTGAACCAGTTCTCACCACCTGGGGATGATCTGCTTTTTCTCGTGGATGATGAAGGGTATAAACTTGGGGGTTACCTAAACTTCATTTAAGTATACCGTGCTCACCCCACAGCTGAAGAAGGACCTAGAAATCAAGAAAGAAGCCAAGGGGCCATGGGGAAATACAAAAGGCCTTGGTGGTGGCTTATGCACACACGGGGAGTAATGAATATATATTATTTTGATTTGCGAAGTTTCTGTGGGGAAAAGTTAAAGGAGCTGGGTATATTCAATGTGGAGGAGACTGAAAATCAGCCAGTCAACCAGCACCACAAACAATCTTCAAGATTATGAAGGATGCAGAGGAATCTTCTGGTTCCCTCTTCCACTTCTTCAAAACAGGAAATGGGCTCCAGCTATATAAATGCAAGAGATTTAGGGTAGACCCCAAAAAGAACTTCGAGAGCAAGAGAAGTGTCTGACAGTGATTCAAGAGCATTCTCAGAATCTCTTTTGGGAAGATAGGTTTTTCAATTCAAGAGAATTCCTGATTCATCTGGGAACAGTTTCTTTCTTTTTTTAAGACTTTATTTTTTTTAATAATTTTTTTTATTTATTTATGATAGTCACACAGAATGAGAGAGAGAGGCAGAGACATAGGCAGAGGGAGAAGCAGGCTCCATGCACCGGGAGCCTGACGTGGGATTCGACCCCGGGTCTCCAGGATCGTGCCCTGGGCCAAAGACAGATGCTAAACCGCTGCGCCACCCAGGGATCCCAAGACTTTATTTTTAAGTAATCTCTACACCCAACATGGAGCTTGAATTTACAAACCCAAGATCAAGAGTCACATGCTCCACAGATGAGCCAGCTGGGTGCCCTATCTGGGAACAGTTTCAATGAATGTCTGCCTACCTGAACGCCTGGGAATGGGCAAGATGACCTGATTGGTTGCTTTCAGAATTAAACAGACTTGGTTCACAGAGGGTGAAGGGGGGGGAAGGGCAGGAGGCAAGAAGTTACCGCTTGCAGATAAAGGCTGTGAAGTTTCTGTAGGCCCTCGAGGTTCCCAATAGTGGTAATCCCCTCCCGGTCCAGGCGGACAGTCTGCAGTTCAGCAAGAGTGTGAAACCTGGAAGAATGGTCAGCAGATGTTTTAACACAGCGCCACTTCTGTGGCATCTCTGCAGGGAAGATGGGGTGGGGGGAGGTGTTTCAAGCTAAGTGGCTTTGATGGGATGTCAGGAACAATTTCTTGGCTCATGTGGCAGTGTCCAGCTCATGAAGTGGGTTGACCTGGAGACCTGGATCTTGGTAAGTAGCACTGAGATGGATCAGAGGGTGAGAGGAGTAGGGCCCTTCAGGGAAATGGGTGATAAGCAGCTTATGGGTTCCTGGAGAGACTCAGAGGCAAGGAAAGCCTTCGTTGGGCCAGCGCAGATGGTGGAAGCAGGGGCCAGGGAAGATAAGACAATCTCTGCAGGAGGATCCTTCCTCATTTCCCTTTGAGTGGCCCATGGAAGGAAAAGCACTTGTTCCATTCACTCATTCATTAATTCCACAACATTTAATAAGTGCCCACTAGAGACAAATGAATGTCCCTGCCCATCAGTGTTAGGGAAGCAGGCAAAACATACATAAATTCATTCATTCATTTATGTTTTTATTTATTTATTTGAGAGAGAGAGAGAGAGAGAGAGAGAGAGAGAGAGAGAGAAAGGACGAGCAGAGGGAAGAGGCAGAAGGAAAGGAAGAAGCAGGCTCCTCACTGAACAGGGATCCCGATGCAGGGTTCAATCCCAGGACCCTGGAGTCGTGCCCTGTGCCAAAGACAGACGCTCAACTAACTGAGCCACCCAGGCACCCCTAATTTTATTTTTTTATTTTTATTTTTTAAAAGATTTTATTTATTCGTGAGACACACACACACACACACACACACACACACACAGAGGCAGAGACACAGGCAGAGGGAGAAGCAGGCTCCATGCAGGGAGCCCCATGTGGGACTCGATCCCAGGTCTCCAGGATCACGCCCTGGGCCGAAGGCGGCACTAAACTGCTGAGCCACCCGGGCTGCCCTAATTTTATTTTTTTAAAGAGTGAGTCAATATATTTGCAAATAACATATCTGATAAAAATACTGTACCATAGCATACAAGTGATTCAAAATTCAGTAATACCATTGCAAATAATACACAAATGATATATTCATATTATTGCTTAGATATAAAACCAAGAAAAATAAAAGCACATGTTCATACAAAGCATTAGACTTTTCTAATAATGTCCCTAGGAGCTTTACTTCCAACAGTGTAAAACTAGAAACAATCCAAATATTCATCAACACTATGGTATAGCCATATGGTTCAATCTTACTCATCAGTAAGGCATTCATTATAATATATCAGGCCAAACATTTAAAACAAGTGGATGACAGACACAAATACAAGGCACTAAGGGAGTACATGGACTGTGCAGTGAGTCCTGAATAGGGGAACAGGCAATGCTTCCAGGAGGAGATGACATATAAGTAGGAGTTAGCCAGGAAGGGGAGAAGGGGAAGAGGAGAAGGCATTTCAAGCAGAAGGAAATAAGGATGAAAAGGGAGCAGACGTCAACTCATGCTAAGGCATTTGGATTTTATTCTGGAAGTACTAGAGAGCCAAGGAAGGCTCTCTCAGGGAGTGCCCAATCAGATTTGTCATTTAAAAGGATTACTTTGGCAATTGTATGGTGAGCCTCCACTGAGGGCAGGGAGAATAAAAGTTTGTTGAAAGGTGATGGCTTAAGGGCTTTATTTAAGGCAGTTGAGTGGGCACGGTAAAAATAATGTTTAAGGAGGCAAAATCAATTGGATATTACCACTGATTGGATGCGTGGAGTAAGTAAAGAGAGGGACGAAGATGAGTTGACAACCAGTACAGCTCAGGGGACTGGTCATCCTGTTTCAATCGTCCAGCACCCCTTTCTTACCCCCCGGCACTCACATCTTCTCCGACAGATACTCATCCTCAGGGAAGGCCAAGTTCCGCTTAGTGATAAGGGCTTCGGTAATGCACACGCTCTCTTCCTCTGGACTCTGGGCAAGCTTAGCTGTGAACAGATTGGTCCGATTGTTCCATTTCCTTACTCTTGGAAGCCTGACCCTACCGTTATCCAACTGTTCTACCCGTCACCCAGTCCCCTACTCACCTCCGGGCATGATCTAAAGGCTACTGGCCTGGCACAGGAAGAGAACTAAGGGAAGCCAACCAACTTGGACCACCTCGGGGATGGCGGAACGCAGGATGGTAGCAGGCGAGAGAAGCTCGGAGACTCGAGGGACGAGGGCAGGTGGCTAATTCAGAGCCAATTAATGAGGTGGGGTAGAAGACAAAAGTAAATCGAGGCGGGAGCTCTAGAGTTTTTTGAGGGGTGCGAAGGGGTTTGCAAACCTGGCGGATTGTGGGTAGAGAGAGTGGCGGGTGCGGATCGAGAGAAAAGAGCCGAGCTCAACCGGCAGAGCGTCGTTGCTAGGAGACTGGACGCCAGGTTGGGCGTCGGGGCCGGCGGGCTCAGCGCATGCGGATTACTGCTCCGGCCGGCCGCTTCCGGCCCCGGGACTTCCCACAATCCTTAGCTCCTTCTGTCTCTCCCGGCTCCCGTCTGTTCTTCCGGTGGCGATGGCTGCGGCCGTGGCTGGGATCCTGCGAGGGGGTCTCCTGCCCCAGGCGGGTAAGGAGCGGCCCAGGTCCTCACGGCGCGTTCCGGCCAGTGCTCTTTGGTTCTCCCCCGTCCTCCACTACTGATCCCCTCCCGTAATCTCGTACTCCAGACTGCTCCCGGTGACTCCTGGCCCCGCCAGACTGCTGGCCTCCTCCCTCCGTCTCATTCCCTGTGGCTGCAGACGCTAGTAGTAAGAGCAGCGCAGCAACAACGTCTGCGACGACCGCAGTATTTCTTCCCTCCGCCCGAGTCCCCATTCCTTCTCTGGGCTTTTATAATCCACCACCCAGCTCTTGCTCACCTCCGGTTCCCTTTGCTTTGAACCACTGCCCGCCGCGATCTTGGCGCTCTGCCACCTTTTTACGGTCTCAGCCCCAAAGTCCCCGCTCAGGCCTGCCCTGGCCACATTCTGCAAAGCAGCTTTCCCCTGTTAAATCTGTATTTTGCATCCTGTTTATGGACCCCTCTTCATCTTTCACAATCGGTAATTTTGCATTTGTTTATGTATGGTCTCCTCTATTAGACTTCAAACTCGGAAAGGACAGAACCATGTTCATTCAGCATAGCCAGCAGGTGGCGTGGTGCTTGGCCTTAGGCATGCAATAGACATTTGTTTAATGAATAATTTTGAGCACAGAATACAGGCCAGGCACAGTGACAGATGATTTAGTATTATCTCATTTAAATCTTAAAGCACCTCGAGAAGAAGTCATTATCTCCTCTTTAGAGTCGAAGAAACTCAATTTTCAATGAGTGACCGGTCAAGGTCACAGCTAGTAAGTGACTGAAGAGAGATTACACTCTTGTTCCATCTGTGGGGTGCCTGGGTGGTTCATTCGGTTAAGCATCGGGCTCTTGGTTTCAGCTCAGGTCATGAGATCAGGGTTGTGAGATTGAGCCCTGCATAGGGCTCTTTGCTGTTGAGCTTGGAGCCTGCTTGGCATTCTCTCCCTCTCCCTCTTTCTCTACCCTGCTTTCTCTCTCTCTCTCTCTCTCTCTCATTAAAAAAAAAAAAAATCTGGTTCCATCCGATCCAAAGCCTGTGTTCTTAACTTAGGTGTTGTGGCTGCTGGCAGTAAAACCTTTCCCCCCAGCAAACCTCCGTGCTCTCTATTAAAGCCACCTTCTAGCTGCACTTTTCCCTGAGATCCCATCCCAATCTTGGGAAGGGCCGGAAGTGGGAAATGCTAGTGTGGGTCTTTTTGTTGAAGATGTAGGGGTCACTTAGGCTTACAGCTTTCAAGTGGCTCCCTTGTCTTCTGAGGGGTGCTCTCCACCAATGCCTGTAAACAAGAACTGAGGGAAAAGAGGCTTGTTTGGGGGGGTTGTGAGGGCTTCAAATCATAGGAGACGGCTTTAGAGCAGTGGTTTTCAGACTTCAGCATGCATCTGGAACACCTGGAGGGCTTATTAGAACCGCTCTTTGTTGGTCGTCCCTCCTCTCCCCCCCAGTGCTTCTGATTCAGTACGTCTGGGACAGGCCCTGAGAACTTGTAGCTCCTTTTTTTTTTTTTAAAGATTTTATTTATTAAAAAAAAAGATTTTATTTATTTATTCATGAGAGATACACACACAGAGAGGCAGAGGGAGAAGCAGGCACCTCACAATGAACCTGATGTGGAACTCAATCCCTAGACCCAGGATCACACCCTGGGCTGAAGGCAGATGCCCAACCACTGAGCCCCCCAGGCATCCTGAGAACTTGTATTTCTAACAAGTTCCCTGATGATGCTGATGTTGCTGGCTGGGTGGCAGCAGCACATCTTGAAAACCACTGGCTTAGACCAGGGGTTGGCATACTGTGGCAGGACTGGTCACTGTGTTTTATAAATAAAATTTTATTGGAGGGATCCCTGTGGCGCAGCGGTTTGGCGCCTGCCTTTGGCCCAGGGCGCAATCTTGGAGACCCAGGATCGAATCCCACGTCGGGCTCCCGGTGCATGGAGCCTGCTTCTCCCTCTGCCTATGTCTCTCTCTCTCTCTCTCTCTCTCTCTCTCTCTCTCTGTGTGTGTGTGACTATCATAAATTTAAAAAAAATTAAATTAAAAAAATTTTATTGGAATACAGCCACATTTACTTGGTTCATATTGTCTGTGTTTGCTTTCATGATACAATGGCACAGGTGAGTAGTGACAGACTGTATGGTTCTCAAATTAAAATATTTACTATTTGGCCATTTAAGAAAAAATATGCTCCCCCCCCCCTTTTTAATGTATTCAAAAGTACTTTCTTCTTCATTCTCATCTTTTTTCCACGTCTCTGTGCATAAAGAAGAGCTGGAGAAATGGAAGCCTCAAAGGAGCAAGCAATTGACCTAAGGTCACCCATTAAAGAGAAGACAAGTTTGGGGAATTTAGGATTCCTGGTAGATAGTTTCTTGTTCCACTCTCTTGTTGCATCTAGCTCTATGAGCCATAGTTGTCTTGCCCAGAGGTGGGCTTTTTCTCTACCTGAAGCCGCCTGAGGACTCCCAGAGGCTGCACGTCACAATGTTGCCATTTCCTCTCCCAGGCCGGCTGCCCACCCTCCAGACTGTCCGCTATGGCTCCAAGGCTGTTACCCGCCATCGTCGTGTGATGCACTTTGAACGGCAGAAGCTGATGGCTCTGACTGAGTATATCCCCCCAAAACCTGCTGTTAACCCAAGATGCTTACCGAGTCCTCCCAGTCCCCCACAGGAGGTAAGGAGGAGACTGCCTGTCCTTGGTGCCTGGATGGTGGATTTTAGTGATCTGGTCTCTGTAGCCATAATGAAGTGGCTCTCCAGGACACAGCCCTCCACATCATTACTTCCCCTCTTTACCCTGTGTGCCAGATGCATTAAAATGAAATGTGTACTTGATTCTGCTTGGCATTTTGGGTTCTGTGGATCGGATGGACCTCCTGGATTTCCATTATTCTTTACTTGTCTCCAAAAATTGTGTAAAAGCTCTCCAAGCAGGTGGGGATAGGGGAGAGTATCTCTCCTGTCTTGAAAGGACTTGAAGCTTGTATGTTTTCCTAGAGGAATGGTGTGAGGTTTTTTGTCCTAAGAAATAACAGAAAGAATTTGTACCTTTATGCTCATGGTCAGGCCCACAAGCTATGAACTTTGAGAAACACTGTCTTCAGAAAATGAAGTCTTGTCCTCGGTTCTGAATTATAACTGTGAAAGAGTTATCTTGTATTTATAATTGGTAAAATTATTCAACATGAGTATAGTGTTAGAGGGATAAAGTGATATTTACATCATTATTGTCACATAATGTTGACTGGGTCAGACTGGTGACCTGGTCAAGGGGACGAGCCTTGTCAGGTCTGACACCACTGCTCTAAAGACCGTGGTCATCTGGTAAAAACGAAGGGTGGAGTGGAGTTTGTAGCCTTTCTTGAAAGGCAGGGCCCCCTCTCTCCTCCAGCACACCAATCTTTCCCACATTTGGGCACTGCAGGGAGCCCCAGCACCCGTGCCCCAGGGGGACAGAAGGACAAGGAGAAGGGCGGTATCTGTCCCCTTAATCATCCCTCCCTTCCCGGTCTCAGGAGACAGGCCTCATCCGGCTCCTCCGTCGGGAGATAGATGAGGTTTTCCGAGAGAACCGAATGATAGCTGTGTGTCAGAATGTGGCCCTGAGTGCAGAGGACAAGCTTCTCATCCGGCACCAGCTGCGGAAACACAAGATCTTGATGAAGATCTTCCCCAACCAGGTAGGGAGCAGCCCTCTGATGCAGGTGCCCTATTCCCCCGCCCCCACCAACTCAGACCCCAGGGTCCCTCCCCAAAGAGGAAGCATTTGACCTTTCCCACCCCTACCCCACCACAAGCAACCCTATAGTCTGGTGCCTAAACTGTGGTTGGGGCCCGAGGAGACTTGTCGGTTTGCACCCTCAACCTGATGTGGCCTGTGATTGGGGTTGGCAGCCCTTCCTCCCACTCATCCACAGGAAGCCCTCTTTTCTGCTGTTTCAGGTTCTGAAGCCCTTCCTAGAGGATTCCAAGTACCAAAACCTGCTGCCCCTGTTTGTGGGGCACAACTTGCTGCTGGTCAGTGAGGAGCCCAAGGTCAAGGAGATGGTGCGAATCTTGAAGAGTGTCCCTTTCCTGCCACTGCTAGGTGAGCAAGCACCCCTGCGGGTTGAGGATGGGGGTGAAAGGGAGTGGGTGCCACAGCAGCCTCATGCCATCTGCTAGGTACATGTGGGTAAAACTGGACATTCTTCGGGGGGCATCCTCTAATGGATAGGGCCTGAGTTACTAGCACCATTTGTCAAGGGCTGCCGGTGTCACTCTGGAACCTGTGTTGGCTCACTACCCTGCATCTGTCTTTCCTTCCTTTCTCCCTCCTTCCTTCCTTTCCTTTCATTTATTTTAGGGAGAGAGAGTATCCAGGCAGGGAGGGAGAGGGAGTAGGAGGAGAGAAGCAGACTCTGTGCTGAACAGGGAGCCCTGTGAGGGGCTCAGTCTCACCATCCTGAAGCCATCACCTGAGCCCAAACCAAGAGTTGGGACACTTAACTGACTGAGCCACCCAGGCACTCTGGTCCATTTCTGCAGTAGGGGGAAGAAAAGGGAAGGCAGAGAGAGGGCTCTGGAGGGAGAGGAAGTTCAGACACCTTAAGTCTAGCAATGGGGTATGGAACACCGCACAGATGAAGATACTTAAATAGCCCAGATAAAGGGCACTGATGGGTGAACAACGTTTTCCAGACTCCCCTGATGCTAGGAATCCCCAGGGATGATTCTTCTATAGAGAAGACTGGTTTCATAGGGAGTCTCCGTGGGCCCGCCACACCCCACTACACACATGCTCTGCGGTTCTTTTTTTTTTTTTTTTTTTTTTTATGCTCTGCGGTTCTTTAGGAAAGTTTAGGAAACCCCGACTTAGTGGGGTTTGGGCCAGCTGAATGTCTTATGTGAGAGTTTTCTGGGGAAGAGTTAGGAAGGAAGACAGTTGGGCGGGGCAGGAGTGGGAACCAGATTTGGGGAAGGCTGAGGGGTGCAGAAGAGCAACAGAACATGCATTGGAACATTGGGTTGGGATGTTGTCTTCAGAGGAGAAAGGCTCCAGCTGACCCTGTGTTCTTCCAGGTGGCTGCATCGATGACACCATCGTTAGCAGGCAGGGCTTCATCAACTATTCCCAGCTTCCCAGCCTGGCCCTGGCGCAGGGGAACTGGTAGGAGGACTCACCTTCCGTATGGCCCAGACCCACCTCTTGCTTCAGCACCAGCCCTTCCAACTGACTGCCCTGCTGGATCAGTACATCAGACAGCAACAGGAGGGGGACTCCGTCACGCCAGCCAGCGAGCAACTTGCCTCTCCTGACCCTGTTCCGAACTCCTAGCCAGCCTGTTGCACCCAGCCTGCCTGCCCATAAACATGCTGTACTCCTGTTGGCTGTGCCAACATCTGGCAGAGATACAGAGGGAAGTGTGGGGAGTGGCACTTGTTACCTGACTTCACTGACCACAACTTCCTCAGATGCAGGGCCACCTGGGGTTGCAGAGACACTCCATTTCCAAATGGAGGCTCTTAATCACTGTCTTTGTCCCTAGTTTTCCCACCCTGAGACCTAACAGGAGTGGGGTTTTGGCTCTCCAGGCCCAGGGCAGAGAAGCTGAACAGAGATTGTCTTCTGCCTCCAGGCCCACAGTCCTTTGTCACATGTGTCTCCCAGCCTATCCCCTTGTGGATCTGATGTGCTGGAATAGCTCACCCAAGTCATTGTGCTAAGAGTGGTATCTGTTGAGAGCCTGCTGTGCCGGGCTGCGTGCTTACCACTTTACGCACATCAGTTCTACTTCTCACCATGTAACCATATCACCCCCATTTTACAGAAGGCTAAAGGGTGGAGAAGTTCAATAGTCTGCCCAAGGTCCTGCAGCTAATAAGAGGCTGAACAGGGACTTGAGCCAGGCTCTCTGCTCTGAAGACCAGGCCCTGGATTTCTGCCCTAGAACTTCCTCATTAGGGTTCTGTGTGTGCTTGAATGTTAATTCTCCGCCCTTGGGGTGTGTCATGTTATGGAAAGGTTGGGAGTACTGCTTTCTGATAAAATGGAATGCATTTTACTTAGTCTGTTCTGCTGTTTGCAAGCTTATCCTCCCTGTAGACTTATTCTCAGGGCCCCCTCTGATTCTCACTTCCCCTCCTAGAAAATCCTTCCTCTTTCTGTGTCCGAGGTCTCTTACCTCTCTGGGCCAATCCCACAAATGGCATCTCTTACATGTTTGTCCTTTTCAAGGCAGCTACCAGCTTTGCTCAGTCACTAACACGTCCCAGGTGATTCTGAGCAAGAGCTGGGGTAAACCAGAATTCTGTATTAATGAGGGGGTCTGGAGGCTCTCAAATGAGAGGCGTCATCCAAATCTTGGAGAACCAGAAGTCCCTAATGAAGGGGGAGAGAATGTTTAACTAGAAGCCAGTCCTTGTCCTTGATTGGAGTAGGGAAGATGGCTGTTGAACTTTCCTCCCAGACTTGGGGCAGTGCCACAGCTTCCTTAGCACTGGACAGACACCAATCTGGCGGTGAAGATCTGCAGCAACTTTTCTGTGGTGTGGTCCAGGACAATTTCCCACAGTGCCCAGCACAGTGCTATATGCCTAAGAGATGCTCGATCAATATGAAGTGAATTAAAAGGCCCTTGAGGCTCCTGGATGTCAGAGCTGGTCTGGCTAGTGCTGCCCAGTCCTCTCCCTGACTCCCAGAACCCTGCCATGTGGCAACAACACCCTCCTGGGACAGCAGGAGCAGTGCTGAGGTTCTGAATGATGTAGAAAACAGGCATCTCCTGAGAGATGTGTAAGATCCTGTAGGGTAAACCAAGGCCTGGATGGGGCTGAGGTGGGCAGGGGGATGTGTGTGGCCCACATCGTTCCTGGATCAAAGAATCCTACATTGCATCCTTCACCTGCTGGTGATGCCTGAGGCCTCGCCATTAAAAACTCCCTTCTTTCCAGAAGGCAGCTTCACTGTCCTTAAGACTATCAGTCCATTTCACATTCATTTTAATGAGGTTTAGGCCTTTGTTTCAAGATTTTGTTATTTATTAAAAGAGCTCACATGAGTGGGGGTGGGTGGGTGAAGAGCAGAGGGAGAGAATCTTAAGCAGATGCTGTGCTGAGTACGGAGCGCTACATAGGGCTCATCCTCAAGACCCTGAGATCATGACTTGAGCCGAAAATCAAGAGTCAGACATTTAACCAACTGAGCCATCCAGGTGCCTCAGGTTTGGACCTTTCTTAAGAGCTGATTTAATTAGTACTGAACACAGTACTCCAGTAGAAGAGCAGATGCTCAGAAGGAGAGGCCTGGGGTACCTGAGTTGGCTCCAGCTAGCCCTTTCTAACAACGAGCTGGTCACTGCTGCAGACCCACTCCTGATCCAGAGACTCTGCGAGCTGGGGGTTGTGGGTTACGCCTCCAGCCCCAGTGGGTCCCGCCCTGGTGAGGCATCACCTGCAATGGCAGCGTCTGTGGGGCCGCTGCCTGGCCCTCCCCAGCCGTGGCTGCCCTGCTGACCGTGCTGTTGACACAGTCTACTGTGGTTCCCCAGGGGCGTACATCTCTTCCCGTCAACCCGATACCTCTGCTAGCTCCAAATTTTGCAATCTATTTTCAGATGTAAAACGAGAGGGGGGCGGTTAATAAGGAAATGGCCTTGGGTACTAACTGGGGTCAAGCCATGCTGTCTGAGTGAACCCTTTCCCACCACTGGCTTGAGGCCAGCAGCTCCCCAGTCCCCCGCAATCTGTCTGGAACTGAGCCCAGTGGGGACTCTGCCCCCACTCCCAAGCTACCGCGGTGCTGGGGAGTCCGCTCAGCCCTGAGTCCTCCCGGGAGCAGGGGGCAGAGCTGAGCGGCCGCCCGGAGCTTGGCGGGAGGAGGGGCCGGGGAGGGGGAGGTGGGGAGATCCGGCTGGAGGGGAGGCTCCAACGTCTCCTTCCTTCCTGGTTCCTGCAGCAGCTGCTGCCACTGCTCGGCTCCGTGAGGAGGGAGCGGGCCACTCGGAGACGGTGACTCAGAGGCAGAGCAGCGCGCGGGCCACGGAGCACTGGCGTCCATGGACCCTGGGGTAAGGGGGCTGCGCGGGCATCGGCTGACATTCCCTGGACAAGCTTCCTCCCACCTGAAGCTGGTGGGTCTGCCCCTCCGGAGACTGCGGGTGGGAATGGAAGTGGAGATGGGGCACCGACCTGGCTCACCTCAACCCCGCACCCTCTACTGACAGAGTGTCCCCCTCCTCCCGCTGGCGGTGAGGGGCCAGGATCCTCCGGGGCCAGGAAAAGGGCACAGGGTACCCAAACACCAGAAGAGTTTGGGAACTTTCAATGGCCAGATGCAAGAGTTTCACCCCCCCTTCCCTCAGTCAGCCTCTTGCATTCGGTGCCCCTCCGTCCTGACCTCCTGGCCGCCACGGCCCCACCGTGTCCTGTCCCTTCCTGGCCTCAGCTCCTCAGGTGCTTGCTGCCTCCATTGGTAGATCTGAGCTGTTTGCCCAGCCTCGGGCCAGCCTCGCCCCTCTGGTCCCCTCCCTGTCCCACACACACGGAGCCTCATGCATTATTGATCTCCCCGTGGAGCCAGGATGGCCGGGGCTGGTGCCAAGGGCGTCTGTGGGCACTGCTGTGGGACCTGTGTGGACCTTGGCATGTTCTTGGCCACCTTTTCTCTTGCACACAGTGTCTCCATGGGCCTGGTGCCCTGCTCTCTCTGGGTGGATGGTGCTTCTCAGGAGCCCCGGGGACTGGGATGATAGAAGGGAGGCTTTGGTTGAGGAACTGAGGGTCTCAGGCAAGCATCCTAGGGTGGAGGCATGGGGAGTGAAGGGGAGGGGGGCTGTCTCAGGCCTCAGTTTTCCCATGCAGAAATAGAGGATCTTGAGACCGTTGGTGGGGAGTTGGGATGAAGGGGTTAGGGGTGCTCTACGGAGGGATTGTAGCAGAAGCGTCTCCAGCCCATGACAGCAGGTTGAAGGGATGTCTGGGGGTCCTGAAGGAGAAGCCTGATTGAGATCTTGTTTGTCCAGTTTTTGAATTCCTCTGTCCTTGTTTAGAGCTGCTTTTTTCACTCCCAGGGAATCCTCCAGAGAAAGCACTGAGTGTTTCCTAGAGCCTGAGATGTGGGCCCGATGTGGGGCTGGGTGGACTTCTGTGGTTTTCTCTTGGCACCAGCCTGTGGGCTGTGTGCTCGTTCAGCTAGTTCACCTCTGTGAGCAGTGGCCGCAACCGGAGGGTGTGGGCAGAGAGACTGGCCCAGGGTGTGGGGAAGGCACAAACTCGGAGAGGCCTGCCAGATGAGCTCTTAGCTCAGACAGTGCAGTAGGGGTTGGGCTGGGGAAGGTGATAGCAGGGTCTGTGCTAATGGGGTCTCCCTCTTGCTTCCAGGGTCCCCTCAGGACAAGGTGACATCCTTCTCCTTCCACCCTGTTCTACCTTCTCGTCAGGGAGTGGCTGCTCCCTTCTCCATGGACTTCCAAGAGAGGGTCCCTAACTCCTCGGCCGAGAACATTCAGTCTGCGAAGCTGAGCAGTGCCCAGCAGGTCTGGGGGAAGGGACGGGGTGGGAGGCAGGCAGTGGGTGGCTAGAGCTTGGCCCTAAAGTTGGGTGGGGGGGGCTTCCCACATGATCACCTTCCCAGCAGCTTTCCTGACTCTCTGTCCTGGACTGCAGGCCTCAGAGCTGTGGGAGGTTCTAGAGGACCCTCGGGGAAGGCTGGGAGCAGAGGGTACCATGCCAGAGAGGCAGGAAGGCCACCTGCTCAAGAAAAGGAAGTGGCCTCTGAAGGGCTGGCACAAGGTAGAGTGGGCAGGGCAAGGGGAGGGGCCAGATGCTGGGGCTGGCCAGGCAGGAGGCGGGGGAGGGTGTGGGCAACCTAGGGAGTGCACGTGTGTGTACAGAAAAACAGTCCATGTGTTTGCTTGCTCTCTCCTCATGCCCTTTCCTCTCTGCCTCCTGGGTTCTTGTTCCTTCTGGGCAATGTCACAGAGATACTTTGTGCTGGAGGACGGAATCCTTCATTATGCGACCACTCGGCAAGATGTAAGTCAGGGACCCTGCTGGGGGTTGTGGGATGAGTGTGGCCCCAGAATGCTCCCAGTAGGCAGAGGACTTCTGGAATCCACCAGGGCAGGGTCTCACACAGGTTCTCACTCAGGTTCTCACACATTGCTGGGTGAGGGGTCTTGGGCACGTTCCTTCTCGGGGCCCTCAACAAACTTGTCTCTTAAGATGGAGAGAGTACGCTCTCCCGTCTGTAGGGTTGTCATCTTGGTGAGGGCCTTTGGGACGGTGCTTGGCACAAAAATAAGTGCCCAGGAAACAGGAGCTTTATCATCTGTGCCTTCATCCCATTCCCGTGCTGGGAATAGGAGCTGAAGGCCTTTGCGCTCAGGCTGTTGCTTAGATGGGGTGTTTGCCTTCTGGGCCTTGGGGGTCCCAGGAGTAGTTTTCCTGGCTCTGTGACTCCCTTGAGGTCAGAATGTGACTTGATGTAGCAGGGTGTTCTGTGTACAGGAGGCCGACCAACAAGTCCCTGCTGATACTGCGACTTGGGCCTCAGGGTGAGTCAGTTGCCCAGCCCTGGAGCCTAGAGTCATCTCTGGAAGATGGTGGCTCTGTGGTCCTGGGGACCTAAAAACAGTCCCATTTACCCCCTGCCAACCCTCCACTCCAGATCACCAAGGGGAAGCTTCATGGCTCCATTGATGTCCGACTCTCTGTCATGTCCATCAACAAAAAGGCCCAGCGCATTGACCTTGACACCGAAGACAACATCTACCACCTCAAGGTGACATTCCTGGGAGCCAAGTGGTGGCTTGGGCGCCAGCCTAGCAGAAACACCAAGGCACACAGGAGGGTCTGTCCTTGAGGTTGAGGACTATACAGTGGCCAATGGCAAACTGCCTTTCTTGGTTGTCATGTAAATGAGACACCTGGGGAAGCTAGGCTCTGCCTCCTGCAAGGAGCCTTTATACAAGCTGGGGACTACAGGGAGATACCCTCCCTGCCTGGGGATCAGAGCCCTGACTTCCTGCCCTGTGAAGCTGTCCTTCCTTTCATGCTTCCCTGC